CCATGGGGCAACATTTCTAGCATTGGTGTCCACAACGGAGAGATTCCATGGACAGGCAGTCAAGCATATGGGAAGAACTTGAGAATTCAGATGGGCAGATGTCCGGTCAGAAGTCTATTTCAAGACGCCCTGGACATGCTTGTGAAGAAGCAGGATCAGTTGGATTTCATGACCGACAATATCAAGCCTCTCTCAGAAGCTGTCAAGTGGTACGATGAGTTCAACAATATGAGGGTTCAAAAGGTGGTTTTTGAGGCAGACAAATGAGCGGCCATGAAGACTTGCCTGGTTACCGTCACTAGAAAGGCGTGCTTGAAGAGATATTGCATTCCTGGCGGATGGTTCTGGCTAATGCAGACTGGATCTCAACCCTTTGAACCTCCTACGAGTCCCCATGTTTCTCGAGATCAAAAAGATTCACGTACACTAAGTACTACGTATTGACATCGTGGCTGCATGCCTCGAGCCAGGTGACAAAACAAGTGGCACAGCGAAGTAATGACCAAAATACTCTGAGGTTATTCTCTCCTTTACTCGAAATTTTAAGTGTAAAACTCTGGATTTTTTTTCCTTGACACAATAACGAGTATATAATCTATATAATGATACTAATATTAAACAATAATTCCTAATAAATGGTGGTAGAAAAGCATCTCAGGATTCTATTCGGGTAGTATAGTACGGTCTGACTAGGTATTTAGCACAGGATGCTGTGCCATTATTTTGTCAACTGGCTCGGCCTCTTGGTGGGTCAAAGACGTTTCCCTGCGCATGGTCACTGTGATTTTTGAAGCCGATGACAATACCAAGTATTAATGACATGGTCAACTTCATATTGGTCGTTGGTAGACCAAGCAAGATGGTCTAGGCTACCAGGTACGCTCGACGGTCAGGCACTCTCTGTGGGGGTTGTGGTGAGGCTCAGGTCGGTTTTGTTAAATCTGAGAGACGTGCAGTGATGGGCATGAAAATAGGCTGTGATGCTTGGTTCTAAGAGTTCGAGGTAAATTCCCTGGATGACTATTGGTACGTATCTGCTGTGCCTGATGGTTAAGTAGCTATTTCGTAGTGTTTTCGTCGAGATGGAGGGGAGGTATTGAATCATGATGTACCAAGTACGAGGTACTCAGTACAAGTAAACACTCGTTGTTTGGCCTTTTAAGCCGAGTGAGCACCTGAGGGCCAAGCCGTCCGGGCTCAGAGGCCAAAGGCAGAGAGGCTGGGAGCAGGAGCGAGGAATAGCAAGTACTATGTAAGTACTAAGAACCTACCTAGTTGCTGTTGCCGTGCCAGTGACTCGTTGACCTATGAGAGACGAGCCCTCACACTGCTCTTCACTGCCACTGCACATCCGCCGCTTCAAGGGGGTTGTGCTTCGTCGCCTCCAGCTTTTTCCACACCTATTTCGTTTGTTTCTCAAAACCTGCTGCACCCTCAAACACCAACACTACTACCACATCTCGAATCACCGTTACTTCGCACCTCATCCTCGCCCTCTTCTCTACCTCATTCCCCCCATCCTCACACCTCATCGTATTCCTCAACTCCTCCCCCTCCATTCTTCCTCCATCCCAGCCGTGCCCGCAAGCCTTGGACCTCCTTGCTCGCACCTTGTCGATCTGCAGTCGCACCCCCACTCGCAGCCGAGCCTCGAGTAAATTCGCTATTATCTTCAACTTCGACACTCCTCTTGATAACCCCCCAATATACGTCACAATGGCCTCTACCGAGCCTGTTGCATCTACAAACCACATTGATGAGCCTGGTGTTGCCGATTCTTTGTCCCAGCTCAATGTTGGAGATCCGCAGAACGATACTCCGAAGACCGAAGAGGAATATGCGCAATCCCAGTTGACTCTACGTGCTATTGTATCCACCAAGGAAGCTGGTGTCATTATCGGCAAAGCGGGGAAAAATGTTGCTGATTTGCGAGAAGAAACCGGTGTCAAAGCTGGCGTCAGCAAAGTTGTCCAAGGTGTTCACGATCGCGTCTTAACAGTCACGGGTCCGCTATCGGGCATCGCAAAGGCATATTCGCTCGTGGCCAAGGGCCTTCTTGAAGGCGCTCCACAGATGGGCATGGGGGGCGTCATTCAGAATAACGGCACGCATCGTAAGCAGTCTCCTCGATGCCTACTCGAGCTTCGCTAACTTTTCCTTCAGCCATTCGTCTCCTCATTTCCCATAACCAAATGGGCACCATTATTGGCCGACAAGGTTTGAAGATCAAGCATATCCAAGATGTCTCGGGAGTTCGTATGGTTGCGCAGAAAGAGATGCTTCCACAATCGACCGAGCGCATAGTCGAAGTCCAAGGCACTCCTGAGGGCATCGATAAAGCTGTCTGGGAAATCGGTAAATGCTTGGTGGATGATTGGCAGCGTGGCACTGGGACGGTCCTCTACAATCCGGCGGTTCGGGTTCAAGTTGGGTCTGGTCCTCTTCCTCCTGCTGTCGGCACTGGGGGAATGTCAGGCGGCAACTTTGGTGGCCCTCGGTCCTACAATCGCACTGGCAACGGCACGGACTTCAGTGAGACGCGTACGTACAACCGCAGTGCCGCTGATGCGCCACGAAGCGGCGGTATTCCCATGGTCACGGAGGACGGAGAAGAAGTTCAGACCCAGAATATCAGCATCCCCGCCGATATGGTCGGCTGTATTATTGGAAGAGGAGGAGCAAAGATTAGCGAGATTCGCAAGAGTTCTGGGGCCCGCATTTCCATTGCCAAAGCACCACACGACGACACCGGCGAGCGGATGTTCACCATTATGGGAAGCGCCAGTGCCAATGAACGTGCCTTGTACCTCCTTTACGAAAACCTGGAGGCGGAGAAAGGACGCAGACAGCAGGTCTCCTCCGAATAAGACGCCGATGCTGCGGCGTCCTGGCTCTTTGTCCCCAACATCACCTCTCCCCCCACGCTCCTTGAATCCCGCGTCCAACCATGTCCCGCCTCCAGATTCGACGAAACGACAGTTCGACTAAAAAGCATACGGCCTTGTTTTTTTCTTTCTTCGGCGTCGGATAGATGGTGTCTTGCGCAAAGCGACATTGACGAAGCTATGATACCTTACCTCTCGCCTGGGGCGCGAGAGACTTTTTTTGACGAATGATGACATGATCTCGAGCTTGGACGTGACGAGCTCCATCCGTCGATCCTTGTTTAATGTTCTCCAACTACCCAACACCAATGCAAATCGATTCCCGACTCACAACTGAAATCAACCGTTTCCTCTACCCCTGTTCCTCAAATTTACGCCTCAACATCACAGCCATATCCTCGAGGCTGGATTCTCCGAAGCGAAGCAAACGATACGAGTAGCCACCGGGTCGGGAAATAGCGGCGGAAGAGATGCCCTTCAAAATGGGGGTGTCGATGGCTTATCTAGAGGATATGACCAATTCAGAACCCAGGAATCACCTGGCTGATGCAGGAGATGGATGTTTGTCGAGCACCTACATAACACAACTCATGCCAGTCGAAAAGAATGAGCGTATCAAACCAGAGGACGCAAAGGCCTCGCTACTTCGAATGAATCCAACAAAGAAAACTTTTCTTGCAAACCTCGCTTAATTAGAGACTTTTTAGTTTGTAATATCTTGTTGGATAACTTCGATCCCAAATGCACCCACCTGTCAGTACCACCGACACCAAATGTTGATTTGCTCGAGGTGAGTGACTCGTAGATTGGTCACCGCATGTTCACAGCCTCTGACAGGCGGGGATGAGACAAGTCAGCCCCAGAGGGGCGGTATGTGGGAATCAACAGCAGTTCCTGGCACCATAGGCTAACCAGGGCTCAAATGAGGTTGTGTCAAAGTTCCTGCTGATGCCCGGACGCCGCAGCTGCCGCTACTGCTGCATCTTTCTGGCCCAGGCGCTTCAGAATCCCTGTTGTTTAAACTGTCTCGATGGCCAATCCTGGGACACGGGTTGGAGTACCTCGTAATGGGGTCCGTAACAGGCCTGCAAGTAGGTACAGTAGTGATGGCCGCCGTGCTGGCAGGGGTGGCAGGGATCGAGGGGTAGGTAAGGGACCTGGTTCCCACAACGCCCGCTGCAGGCTGTCAGATGGGAGGCCAGTCAATGCTCCATACATGCCCAGAGGGGACAGCTGAAAAGAGAGTCGTAATATTGGAGATGAGTGAATGCATGACTGGGTCTTGAGGGTGGAGAGACATTCGCCCTCGCAGACTGTCGAAGGTTGACCTTGCGCTTCGGCCGTTTGTATTGTGGACTTTGGAATTACCGTGGGCATGTGGTAAACAGCAAACAAGAGTTGATAATAGTTGACTCAACTGGTTGCTCGAAGCGTAGCTCTCTGCCGCGCTGGTCCTGTGCATCTCGTTCCCTAGTGTTTCAGGTAGCCGCCCGTTGCAGATCAACAATCCACCATCGCCAGACCCGGTTGACTTGGCCCTCGTCCGGCAAACCACGCTTGACGTCTACCCGTCATCCTCGTGGCCTCAAGGGTCTGGCTCTGCTGGGCGTGGGCAGTCAGCAAAATCAAATGCAAATCCATTACCTGGTACTCTTTCAGCCCTTCAGGCGCACGTACTTCCATGCAACAATAACCCTCTATCTCCAATACCACCAGCTACCTGCCACCCAGACGTTGCCTTGCTTTGCCTTGCCTTGCCTGACCGAAGCGTGCAGCCCGAGACACCATATATCTCCCACTCGTGTGTACCTATCGAAGAGGTACTCGGATTGCAAGGCACAATCTGGACCCTGCGGCTGCGTCTGAACCTCGACTGCACCGTCGTCCAACGGGCCAAAGACCACAACAAATTTGCCTCCACCCGCTGTAGCATTCCGCCACCATAACTTCAACAACCCCTCTTACTACCGAGTCCTCGAGTTAGGCTGGACCTGCTTATTAGAAAGAGAAAGCTCTACAAAATCTTGGAAATCCTGACAGTACCTTCAATTGCTCTGTCGCCTTCCGCAGAGCATCACCCTTCCATCCTACCCTGAGCACACCCGATAACGAAGAATGTCTTCTCCGGTGCCGCTTCTGCGGCCGCCTGTCCCTGGTGCACGAAGCTCAAGCGGTAGCCGGACTCCTCGTTTGACATTGGGAATCCCCCCTTCACCCAACCAGCGACCAGTGACCGGAGAAGGAGAGCCTGCTGCCGAAGTCCCCCGCTTCAGCCTCGCCGCAGCTGGATCAAAGGGACCACCAAAACTATCTCTCGCTACACCGATGGGAAGTCTCGGCTCAGTGCAAGAAGGAGGGACCAATCTAAGACCACAGATACACCCTTTGAATATATCCGCGGTGACAGGAAATGAAGCCATCAGCAGGCCGAGGGGGGATAGTTTCCATGCTGCCAGTGTTCCCGGGTCTGCTTCGTCGTCCACCTACTCGGCTCTTTCGTTCGCCATGCATGGCAGGCAAGGTGGGACACCTGACCCATCCTCTGCGATAAGTTCGATCTACTCCGAGGCTAGCATTGGCGGGACTTCAATGGAAAGAGAATCAAGTATGGGAGGATTGTCAGTAGACTTTGAGAAACTTGCCATCGAGAAAGGAAGACCGCTCGATGTGGAAGACCTGGACGACGAAGGCTGGGGTGCGGCGAGCGAACAGAAGAAAATCATAGAACTGGGTTCTCTGGGTGAAGGTGCCGGTGGTGCGGTCACACGGTGTATGTTGGAAGGCGGCAAGACAATTTTCGCGCTCAAGGTATGTTTGCAGCCCCGAAGACTTGGATTGAGGGCTCCATCACAAATATTGATACCTCGCCCAGATCATCACCACCAGCCCCGACCCAGACGTCAAAAAGCAGATCCTTCGTGAACTCAAATTCAACAAGAATTGCACGTCCGAGTATATTTGCCAATATTATGGCGCTTTCATGGACAAATCCTCGAGCACGATATCGATAGCAATGGAGTTCTGTGAGGGTGGCAGCCTGGACAGTGTATACCGTGAAGTGAAGAAACTGGGCGGAAGAACGGGGGAGAAAGTACTGGGAAAGATCGCAGAAGGAGTATTACATGGTCTCACATACCTCAACAGTAGGAAGATCATACACAGAGGTAAGCCTTTCGAATGAGGCCCATGGACTCTGTCCAAAGACTTACTGACGCGATGCAACATAGATATCAAGCCCTCTAATATCCTTCTCTGCCGCAATGGCCAGGTGAAGCTCTGTGACTTTGGTGTTTCCGGCGAATTCGGCACAAAAGGTGATGCCAACACCTTTATAGGTACCTCTTATTACATGGCTCCCGAGAGGATACAGGGGCAATCCTATACCATCACCTCCGACGTGTGGTCTTTGGGTGTGACTCTCCTGGAAGTCGCTCAGCATCGCTTCCCTTTTCCAGCCGATGGCACAGAAATGCAGCCTCGTGCTGGCTTGATTGACCTGCTCACGTATATTGTTGCCCAGCCAATACCGAAATTGAAAGACGAACCCGAGAACGGTATCAAATGGAGCGACATGTTCAAGTACTTTATCGAGTGCTGTCTAGAGAAGGAGCCGCCCAGGCGAGCCACACCATGGCGAATGCTCGAGCATCCGTGGATGGTCGAGATGAAAGCTAAGAAGGTCAGCATGAGCTCCTTCTTGAAACAGGTGTGGGACTGGAAAGATTGAGTGAATTGAGGGTGATTCAAGGCCATGATTGTGGAACTCTTGAGATTTTGATCCGAACATGACTACGAGGAAGGGCTTCTTGGATTTTGAGACACAGGACCATTGGAGGAAAATATGACTCTATTAATGCTGGAATGAAGGAAAGCAAGGACTTCTGATGGGCAGAGCCCAACGTCTCTGAGACAACCATTTGTCCCGGGGTTGCCTGGCTTAGGGACAAATACCAGCATCCCAGAATGCCACCGAGGCCAGCTTCGAAAAGGAGGGGCCCCCTTAGGCTTCGTGGATGTGCAAACCAAGCCTTTGGCAGGACGGGATGACAACTGCGTCGGCGATCAAGTCGGACTCGTGGCGATCCCATTGCTAGAGGATGTGTGGCTCTGCAATCCGAGCAACCGCGAACCTCTGTAAAGCATGAATCGTTACACTGCTGGACAGGAGAATAATGAGGACGGAGAGGTCAATGCTTGCAGAGAACGAAAGAATATTACGTTAAACATCCAAGAAGCGGCTCTGATCTAGTAGTAGGAGTAGTACCTTAAAACCAACGCGACCCACAGGGTATTCGTGCCAATGACAGCACGTTCAAAGCTTCGCTTTGTCTGCAATCAACGTATATGCTTTGGGGTAGCTTTCCAGCCGGTCCTTCTGCATGTCACCAATATTCCGCATGCCGGCCGTGAGCATGGAGATGTCGAATTCAGCGAGTAGACACTTCATAACGTGGCGGACGCCCTCTTCGCCCATGATGCTGTTGTTCCGAACTGTGAGTATGGCATTTTGTAGCTCGTATGGATCTTGCAGTGGGATCAAACATCGACGCACCTCAGCCCATAGATCCACATCCGACCAACCCAGACAAACTTTGCGCCCAAGCACAAGGCCTTGATGACATCCGAGGCACCTCTCACGCCCGAGTCGAACATGACGGTAAGTTTCTCGCCGATGCCGGCGTTGATGATGTTCTCGAGAGCATCGAGGCTGGCTATGGCACCATCGACCTGTCGGCCCGCGTGGTTAGAAACAACGATGCCGTCCACCCCCAAGTCCACGCAGTGTTGGGCATCGGCGACGGATTGGATGCTGGGGGAACGACAAAGATGTCAGAGATTTAACAGCATTGGTCGACGTGATGGGACATCAACTGTGCGGACTCACCCTTTAATGCAAAATGGCTTGCCGCCACTCAACTCCTTCCACGTCTTCATCAACCACGGTATCTTCTCCCAGCTGAACGCCCGTCCATGCCAAACGCTATCGATCCACATTGCGCCAGCCTCCTCGGGTTGCTTCTTCGGATCGACCCCAGCCTCTCCCATGCGTTGTTGAAACACGGGGTCCGCAAGTCCGAGATCCGCTCCAATGCCGCGGTAGAAAGCATAGTTTGAGGTTGCGACGTCGTCATGCCGCCAGCCGAGCTGCCATGTGTCGGTCGTCAGGATACACGCTGTAAAGCCATTGTCAACTGCTCTCTTCAGGAGAGAAATCCCCAACTCGTCGTCGTGCGGGAGATATAGTTGGAAGAAGCGCACAGGAGAATCGTTGTCCGCGCCTTGGACATTGACCGCGTCGGGCATTTGGCGACCGGCGTCATTGGAAGCAGCAACATCTTCGATCGTACTCGATCCGGCAGTGCTGAGTGCATAGGGCAAGCGAAGCTGGCCAGCGACTTTGGCGACAGGAATCTCGCCCTTGGGGTGGTAGATCTTGTTGATGCCAATGGGGGCAAACCCGATTGGGGCAGAGATCTTGTGGCCAAATAACGTAGTGGTGGTGTCTCGCTCATTGACATCCACGAGCTGGTGTGGAATCAGCCGGTGGCGGAAAAATGCCTGGCGGTTCGCCAAATGAGTCCAGCTGTTACCAGCATTGCTCTGAGCATACAAACGTCCATTGACCGAGAGAGACTCTTCAGCATGGGCTTCGAGTTTATCTGACCGTGTATTGAAAGGGGCGACTTTGCCTTCATTCAGTGCCCAAAAGGAGTTGCGCTGTTCCTGTTGCCAGTGAGGAGTGATGCGGTGATAGAGCTTGGGGATTAGAGGGTCACTCATATTGGAACGGCCAATACCTCTAGATTTGTAAGAGGTAGAGTTAAGCAAACAGAAAGAGAAACTCAATGAGACTCCACTGATTAAAGAACAGAACTATTCGCAGGATTCGTCGAGGTGCTGCGCTTGCTCTTGATGTTAGCTGCCAGGAAGGGAACCTCAATTCACTGCTGAGGTATTTGTATGTCGAATAACGATAATATCAGCCTCATTATCGTCAGCTTTGGACAGTAGTCCATGGCATTATTGTGCTTGACGGTGTGCTCTCCGGTAGATTAAGCACGATCGTCACCACTACGCAAAGCAGGGGAGAATGACGTTTGGGATGAGACTGTAGATGTAAGTGATGGACCTGAGTTTGAGGTGAAGATGGAGGTGGAGGTGCAGATCAAAGCTTATGATGCTTGTTCAACGGCTGCGCTGCTGACTACAACCACTACCGAGTACTATTGCACTGAACCCTTTCTCGCGTTTATCAGCCGCCACACCGGCACCTTCACCGGGCAACTATCTAAGGAGGACTTCACACCCTTGGCCTTCACCTGCAAAGACACAGGCTGGTGATCTGCGAGGACCCAGCAAAGAATTGCGCAGCTGACACCTTTGTCCCACTTCTTCCACCACTTCGCACGCTCCGAGCAAACATGGGAGGAGGCAATAATTCGCTGTTTGACAAGAGTTGGAATATCGTCGACAAATCTCCATCGACAAACTGACCTCAGGGCACTGGCTTCACAACTCTCCCGGCCAGTCGTCCCATCGGACATTCACCCTTACTACTTGGTGGTACCGTGTTCTGTCCACCATTCACCAAAGGCGTCCTGTGCGTCTTTGAGTGCATCAAAACCCAACAGGTCTTCTTGATATCGACTATCTATCCATTTCCACTCTGTCTGACAGTGGTACCAGTCGATACTCGCCAGGGTCGCGTCCCGCTCCTCCTGCTCAGGGCCGTCGTGAAGGTGGAAGTATTTTCTGTTGGTCACCGCCCCGAGCACGTTGATCGTGGTCCGCGACTTTCGCAGCTTCTCATACAGCTTCAGGACGGCTGAGATGTGATCTTCCGAGCCCGGCGCTGTCTGACTACTGGTTAACTTACCAGCAACTTGTCCCAGCAGGAATCCAAGCACTGCCCCGTCCTCCACCGCCATTGCTGCCCCTTGTGCTTGATATGGCAGAGTTGGATGGCACGCATCACCCAGCAACGCAATGTGACCCTGCACTCAACTTTAGCAGCCGACCCCTTTCAGGCAGATGTCTAATAATACTCACTCGTGTCCATTTCTCAAGCTCTTGGTGATGACAAAGCTTCCACTTCAACACCGAGGAAATGCATGAGATCAGTTTCAGTAGGCTACAGAGGTCAGCAGGTGATCCTGGCCATCGTCTGCCACAGCTTACATTTCATCCCACCCTTCAAATGTCATTCTCATTTCGTCAAGGTCTCCTTTCACAGTTCTGATACCAGTGGGAAGATTGTCCGGTCGAAGAAGCACAAGGTTGAATTCGGCGCCTCCACGCACAGGATAGAAGACACAATGCCTATCAGGTCCCATCCACAACGTCACGGCCTTTTTGGAACACAGGTCTTCGACCCGCGGATCCTTCAATTCCAGTAATTGCTGCCGGGAGAAAGTCGCCCGATACGCCAGGTCACCGGTTTCAACTGGTGGCGAGGGGTGGCTCAGGATGGCGTCGCGCGTGGATGACCAGAGCCCTGGAAGCATTAAGACAAGCCATAGTCACAAATATGGCTGGCAATCATTCACCATCAGCTCCAATGATAACATCGCCCTTTATCACCTCCCCGGTCGCCAGCGTTGCCTCTGTTCGGTCAAAGTCGAGGCCTGTCACGTTGGCGTCCAGCCTGATCTCCGTCCCAAGCTTTTTTGCTTCTTCGAGCAATATAGCATGGTAGTCCTGTCGATGGATGACCCTGTCTACAATCAGCAAGCCCAATGGCTGCTGGAATCATACTAACATCCACGGTGCGCCCATCTGCTTGATAAAATGCTCACCCACGGGTCTTGAAGCCAGCAGCTGCGCATCCCGGTACCTCCTCATGTTATGCCATTCGAGCTGAATAGCAGGCTTTTCGAATAACGGCAAGAGTCCGTAGCTTCGCAATATCTTGGCTGCATTGGGGGGAACTTGAATGCCAGCACCAACCTTCGAACGCCGTCAGTATTCTCTCATCCAGCTCGACTTCTGCGATCCAATCCACCTACGGCGGTGATTGCTGGTGCCTTTTCCAGGACCAAGACGCTCAACCCTTGATGTCGACAGGAGATGCTGCATGATAGGCCCCCCAGGCCAGCTCCGACTATGATGACTCTAAAAGGAGATGCTGTCTCCATCTTTTTCAGAGACCAGCTCTTCGAATTCCACTGCACAGATCGGTGGTCGTCAATTATATATCAGAACTCGAGCGATGGACCTGACTAGCATTCTAGTCACTACTTAAAAGTACCCTTTTCCTTTCAAGGATGGAGCTCTCTGGAGTACCCATGTTCTTGCCAACGCTTGGGCACGGTATTCAGGCGTTTGTGGGTTATGCCGGGGTGGAAGCCAGTCTTTCGCTGGTGTACCGGGCATTTCAATTCTGCAACAAGCTCCGGCGGGAGGTCCGCGGGGCGTGGATTGATATTCGCATCAAAGCCACAGTAACTGCCGAATACAAGTTTGTTTGGCATGTTCAAACCCCGTGGGGCACCCAAGCAGTCTTGTTCACCCATGGACCCAATCACGAAGGATGGCGAGTCTCGACCTGGCGTCGCCGTCTCAGACAAGCTGTTCATTGGCTTTTATGCATCAGTTTCGGCTTCACAAGACTTGTTCACCAGCAAAGACAAAATCGTTGATACTGCTTGGCCCTCGGCTGTACTACTGAGGACTCGCACCCCGCGGATTGGAAGCTACAAACACCTGCAACCGAATTCTCTCCTTCCCAGGGACGAGTGAGTGACCATATCGATTTTGGAACGCGTTACCATAATGGTAAGCTTACGGCATCCCTTTTTGTGAGTCCCGGCACCCAACCCGGCGACCGGGGCACTTCACACAAAGGAGGCATAAGATCCGAGGTGTCGACTCCAATGCGTCCAACAATCGACGCCTTCTAGTCCCGTCTTCGCGTGGTTGGTCGGTCCAACTCTAGTGCCTGCAGAGGTGAATGTGGAGAAGAAACAGTCGCCTGGCTCCAAAAATGCCTCAATTCGTCTATGCGCCGATTGTCCCAGGCACGGCCTTTTGTAACGCCTTTGGGTATACCGATCCACGTGACGTTGATCGTCATGTATGAAAAACGTCCAATGCATTATATTGGCAAGGGCTCCGATGAAGACATCTTGGGGCCTTTCAAAAAATGAAGCAGAGGAATACGCATCGGTCAGCCTCGTGGAAAGACACTTTGTTTCAGTCTGGCATAACGCGGCATAGCCTCGACGGACCAGGTAAGTTTTCTTGCCCTGGATCAGTCCACTGATTGTGGGGATTGATTCTTGAGGACTACAAGGTACGAAGTACACAGATCCCAACTGTGTCTCACAGCTCCCCAATACCTGGAATTTTGTCCTTGCCTGCCCAGTACTACTGATGCCATGAATCGTTGATCTCTGGGTTTCATGCTTTCCGCGGCAGCTCCATGTTGATGATGATGGTCTTGGCTTGCAGATATCCCTTCAGACCTTCATACCCGCTCTCCCTTCCTTGTCCTGATTGTTTGTATCCACCAAAGGGCGTCTGTGGAGTTGTCTTGTATGCTTGGTTAATTCCCACATTTCCAGCCTCAATCTTGGACGCTACCCGCAGGGCTCGAGCAATATCGGAGGTGAAGATAGAGGCTACTGCAAGTTAGCACATATTCCACTCGGTCAGGGAGAGATGTCACCCACATCCAAGACCGTAAGTGGTGTCGTTGGCCAGAGCGATAGCATCCTCCTCCGTCTTAAAGGTCTTGACGGCAATGACAGGTCCAAAGATCTCATCGGTGAAGACACGGCTCCGGACATCAGGATTGAGAAGTACGGTAGGTTTCACGAATGTGCCCTTGTTGCCCAATCTCTCTCCTCCAGTCAGGACCTCGATACCCTCAGCCTTCCCGTCGTTAAGGAATCCCATGACGCGTTCGAATTGCTTCTTGTCGGCCAATGGCCCATATGCGGTCTCGGCCAAAGACGGATCTCCCATTTTCTTGGCAGCGTCTTCGAAGGCCTTTTTGATGCCTTCGATGAACTTTGGCGCAATACCTTCCTGCACCAAGACTCTCGACGAGGCAAAGCATACCTGTCCAGAATTCCGCAGAAAACCCGTTGAGTTGTGCAGGAGGGCATTGTCTAGGTCGGCATCGTCGAAGATCAGAGCGGGAGACTTGCCTCCCAATTCCAGTGAGACATGCTTCATATTGGATTTGGCAGCGGCAATCTGGACTGCACGTCCACCGGCGGCGGAGCCAGTGAAAGCAATCTTGGCGATGCTCATATGAGACGCCAGTATGGCACCCACGGGGGCGGCACCTATGACGATGTTGATTACGCCAGGAGGAAATCCAGCTTCTTTGATCAATTCACCATAGAGGGCTGCGCCGAGGGGCGACTTCTCCGAAGGCTTGAAGACGAAGGTGTTTCCAGCAGCGAGAGCAGCGGCCATTTTCCAGGCAGCAAGGGCGTGAGTGCCGTTCCAGGCAGCAATACCGGCACAGACTCCTAGGGGTTCATAGGCGACGATCTTATAAGAGCCATCACCTTCAGGAGGGTAGCTTTCACCAGCGATCTTGCCAGCGAAGCCAGCATAGTAACGCCAAACCGCTGCTGGGCCATTGACAAAACCTTTAGCGAGAGTGATGGGTTGACCCATACATATCGACTCGAGTTTTCCGAGGCGTTCGGCATTGGCGTCGAGAAGATCAGCAAACTTGAGCATGATGGCACCTCGCTTTGCACCGGGCGTGGAGGACCAGCCGGGGAAAGCGGCTTTGGCAGCAGCGACAGCCTTGTCGACATCGGCCTCGGAAGCCACTTGCACTTTGTCGGTGACTAGGGTGTCGTCGTTGGGGTTGTAGATGGATAGGGTCTCTCCGGACGAGGAGGGAACGTACTGAAAGGGATTACAGCCGAGTTAGAACCGAATTCAAAGGGAGAAGAGGATGACAGTGCGGAGGGACTTTACCTCGCCATTGATGAAGAGATTGGTTTGGTATGGCATATTGCCTGCTTGCCTGGTGATGGTGTTGTCGTTAAGGGAGATGGCGGTCAAACTGACAAAATGACTCTTGTGGGTTCGATGAGAAATTGTCAGTGAGAGAAGGGAGTCAGTTTGTCTCGATCAGCGTCTGATATATGACACAGTTACCCATACGGAGGTAGTGAATTGAGGATGCTATACCCGTGCAGTGCCGTGGTGGTGGTGGGTTTGTTTGCTTTACCCCGCACCTGCGCACCAACCAGGCCATGAGGAAATCTCCAGCATGCGCAAGTTCCGAGGAAGATGGAAAAGCTGGGTGGCAGAAGTGGTGACTTTACCCTCACCATCTCCAATAATTCTACAAAGTTCATACAATCATTTCTTATTTCCGACACGAAGTAAAGCAGATCGATCAGGATCATGTCACGATTCTCGGTACTAAGCTGCTATTCTCCGTCCAGCCATCTTCAAGCTAAGGGCTAACGAGCAATCTAGGTACCTGGCAGCCTGGCCATTCCTGATTTGTGCGGTTGGTCGATGAGGCCTCTCATTGCTCGCCTTTAATGCACGTTGTCTACCCCTTGTCGCTGTCAGCCAATCCAATCGACATGCGCAAGACTGGTCCCGGTCATTTCCTTCGTTCCGAAGGAGACTGCAACATCGTACTCAACGGACAAATCTATCCTCACGAACAGCGCAGAAGGCTACTAATGATGCTGCAGTAAGCGTCCACTACTAGAAGAACGCATGCAAGAGTCGGCGGCCTGTGGAGCTCCAGGAACCAGCGACAACATGACCCTGTTCCCTCCATCATGCAATCCTCACAGCAGTCTGTTCCCATCTTAAAGGGCCTCATCATCGACCTCTTGACCTCCTTCAACACTCTCACGTCCCAGCTCTATCAGAACGTCATGTTTGCGCGACTTCGCAACGTACTGCTGCTGGGCCCAGTGGCCCATCAGGTCATCGCTCAGACCAACTGCTCTTCCTTGTCTGCGAGCGCTATCGACTTGACGTGGCACGCTCCAAATGCTACTCATATCAACAATTTAACCTTTGTCGTCAATGGTACGGGGATCAATGGATTCATCTTTAATTCTTCCATAACCCCAGCTTCGACTGCCTACAGCACATACAACTGGTGTAATATGCCGCATACCCGACGTCAAGAGTACCCCCGCGTCGACCCGGAATACACATTGGAATATGTCGAGCTTGTAAGTGCTGCTGAGGCGTTGGGCCATCTGACCAAAGCCTTTTTTCGTGGAAGCTGACGACCTCTCAGATTCATCGTCACCACAAGCGCACCCCTTATGCGTCCAATACCTTCCCCCGTGAATCTTATGCCTGGAATTGCGACGACGAGGCGTTGTTCTTCTATGGCGCCCCGGAACCGGATAGCTCTTCTGCTCAGGTCCATTGGCAAGTCTACACGTCTCCGTCAAATCCTTTGGCTCCCGAGGGGTTCAATGGAACTTGTCAGTTTCCGCAAATCTCGGGCGCCGGACTCAACGACTCTCGTCAACATGGTCGCGATCTTTTCGGGGTGTATCATGACTTGCTCGGCTTTCTACCTTCATCCTATAACTCGTCCAGAGTCAAGTACCGAGTCACAAACAACGTCATCACCTCGCAAGTTGCGGGTCAAGTCGTCGAGGGCGAGTATTCGGGGCGCCAGGATGTCCTTGTTTCTGTACTCATTCAACCCGATAGTATCGACAGCCTGGAACCAGCCTACACATGCTCTGCTGCCAGTACCCTCTATGCCTCTTACGGCGTGGGAAGTGATGCCGCTAACTGGACGCTGCACCTAAACGACTCCGCGTCGCTCTTTGCAAAGCTTGATTCGGTGAGTGGCGTCAACAGCAGCGATCCCGCCTGGCACAACTGGTTCGACCACTACTTTGACAACCTCTCGGCTCGCTTGTGCCACCAAAAGCCCCTGCCGTGCCAGATCGGCAACTCGTCGAATTGCATTACCGAGGCGGACGCCGATGCTGTCTTCCGGAGAGGCCAATACGAGTACTCGTTTATTTACCGCGATAGTCCTTCGTCGCTGCCCGCATCCACCGCGAGCTACGGCATCTACGTGGCCGAGCTTGCACAGAACATCCGCAACGCGATGAACGGCACATCTTCCGTCATCTACATGCACAACGTTGCTCACGATGGGTCTGTGTCACGCCTGCTCAGTATTCTGCAGGTCGATGTCATGGTCTGGCCAGGCATGGGCTCCGAGGTTGTGTTTGAACTGTACTCCAAGCAAGGGTGTTACTACCTGCGCGTGCTATGGGGCGGACAGGTGCTCCGGAGCTCGAATCCGAGTCTCGGCCTTATGGATTTGATACCGGCTCAAAACTTCCTATCATACATAGATGGGCTGGTCGGACCTGGTGCGGGTCTGGTGCCCGATTTGTGCGCGGGCTCATAAGCTCAAGTATAGACGTCAGTCAGATCTCTAAAGAAGTTGGGAACTGGATAGATAGTTGAACGTCGCTCGAAAGGACGTGCGAATCGTGAACTTGCATACTCAAGGCATGCGATCAGCATGGCAATGATATTCCAAGAGCATTTGAAGCATCGACTGCTCCGAGATCGCGGAGGATGGTTGCCTGGAATTACCCACTTGTTGACTCTTGCCGGCTCTTTACCATGATGCCAGGTTAGCCGCGTCGACCACACACACAATGGTTGTCCTTTTCTGAATGACGTCCCTTCTCGCGATTGTGGCCCGGATATAACGCGAATGCAATGCAATGCGGCAATTACGGCCGCAGCAATCGGTTGGGATGCCACTATGCTTCTTGTCCCACTAATTATAACTCTCAGGCAAACTGAAAGGAACTTTTTCAATGGAAGGTGCACAAAATTATGGAAGATAGATGTCATGATTTACTTGCCCAACGCCCTCTTTTCACAAAATCTTCAGAACTGTCGTACAAACAACCAGACACACTCTCTCAACAAGGACGTATAGAAAACGAGAGATCCTTTCCAAAAAATAAAAGAAAGTGTGCATATGCTCTTTCCCCCAACAAATGGAAGAACAAGTCCGTGATACCTCATGTCTAGTAGACGGCCTGAGGCTGCTGTCCGTAGCCCTGGTCGTAGCCTTCCATTCCCTCCTCGTCCTCTTCCTCGCCCTCTCCCGGATACCCTTCGTAGTGTTCGTTATCTGCATCCATACCGGTCATTGTTCCTCCCATGGTGCCATCGTCCATTTCATGCTCGGGATAGTAGTGGTCGGACTCGTCCATGCCGGTGCCCATGCCCATGGCGCCGACCTGGGAGGGATGCATCGAGCCTTGAGACCCTTGCGTCGCCATGGAAGCCATCCCCATGGAAGCCATCCCCATGGCAGCGCCGCCGGCACCTCCTTGGCTGGGATCGTGCTGCCATTGTCCTGCGCTGCCGTCTTCGTGTTGTTGCGGATACTGCTGGTCATACTGCGATGGGTCGTCGTAGTCTTCATGCTGCGGGTCGTAGGGCTGTTGTCCGGGATATTGAGGCTGTCCACCATGCTGCTGCTGTCCAGCGCGTGCTGCCATGCCCTGTCCATACATTTGCCCGTGTTGTGGGTCGTTGTAGCAATCTCCAAAGCCCTGCAGATTGAGTGATATCGTGGGGTTGAAAGTCGGGTTGAACTCATCGTTAACGTGTGTGTTCCCGTTGGATAGAGGACCGACACTAGTGTTTCCGTTCTCGAGACCGCCGACGCTGGCGTCTCCCCCATCAGCGTCTGCGTCGCCGCCGTCAGCATGGCCGCCTTGAGCGTTGCCACCTGAGACTGGCCCAATAGCCGTGTTTCCCCCGTTACTCTGGCTTGTGACGCCGCTGACCGAGTTTCCCGTAGCGCCACCAGCTACTGTGTGTTAGAACAAACGGACCAATCTTCACATCAAGGCAATAAAACGTACTGTTTATGGGTCCATTGGTATTCCCGGCCGCACTGCCGCCCTGTCCTCCGGCCGCATTGCCACCAGTTCCCGAGCCTCCTTGTCCTCCCGCACCTCCGGATCCTCCAGATCCTCCCGCTCCGCCGCTGGCAGTGTTTGTGTTCGAGTTCGACGAGTCGGCGCTGGCATTGGCATCTGAAGAACTACTGCTGCTGTCACCACCAAACAAACCGCCGAATAAAGCGCCGAGAGGGGCCATTCTTGCGTGATGTGATTTCGGTTTGTACTCTGTGAGAGGAAAAGATGAAGAGTGATTTTATCAGAGCTTCTATAAAAGGTCTGAGGTGGCTTTGGTGAACTTTGGAGGAGGATGTGTCTCTGATGTTTTATTTGTGTTGAAATGTCTGATTGAGTAGTGAGGACGGGGAAGAGGAAAAGGATTCTGTGAATCCTTATAGCCAGACCGTTTTCTAAATTCGGACCGTAATCTGAGCAGATGACTTTCCTGGTTTTTTCCTGGTCGCTGTCTGTCTTCTGCTCTCCTTCTTGCTCATCCTCTGGAGACCCGTGGGCCCAGCCAGAAACGTAGTCATCATGGCATTTCCATGTGCCTGGCGCGAATGGAAAAGCTGCAACTAATTTTAGCTTTGGATGTGATAATAGATCTCTTTTCTTTCCCTTCTTCTTCCCTATACGAAGTACGGGGCGAGTATTGGTAGGATGGTGGAGAGAGGATCCCAAAGCCACAATGCTCACCCCAGTATTGCGCCTCGCCTCAAACCAACGTTGGACCAGATCTGAGGCATAGCGCTCCGGATTAAGCGAGAAGAGGAGGATGGATGGATACCTACGAGGTACACTCCCTGTTCAGCCCCCGCCGCCGGATCCCGAAAAAATACCACCACTCATCACATCACTAGTGGCCCGTATTTGATTTGCTCAGGCGGGGACCCTCAGTAATAGTGGCATAATACTATTGTGGGTCATCAAAGATACCGAACGAGTATGAACCCACATCGCCCGCCGCTGGCTTGTCCCAATTGTATGCTGGCTATGCTACAAGCTATTCTGAGGTGAGGGAGGGCGGATTTCTCTCTGGGCGCTTCTATTTTTCGCTCTTGTACTTTGTATTCGTAAATGATGGGCTTACTTTTCTTGGAGTTTGTAGAGTAGAGTGTCAATTACCAAAGGAGGCTGTGGGATGCATTCTAATCCCAGTATCCGACTTGGACACAGTTGGCAAGTAGCCCTAGGCGCGACACTACAACCTGATGAAGGCCCTATTTCTGACGCACATCGGAACGCATGTCACAGGGAGTTACCATCCCGACCTACTTCTGCGCCCTTACGTGAACAACTCCCACATCTCTGAACCATGTCCAACTCCAAACTCCGGCGTAAGAATGTCCCCTTGTCCCCGGTACAAGGAGCCCCAACTTTTGCTAACGTACGTGCATGGGCAGGATGAAATGTGCAGTGCTTCCACGAGAATTCAACAAAATGAGCAATGCCCGACGAGGATTGGCGTGATGAAATTCAAGAATACGCGCGACTGCTAGACGCCGTTGCCAGCGGTGACAGATCTCGCGTCGTCAAACACTTGACCGACTACATCCTCGGCGGCAAGAAGGAGGGGAACGCATCCTCGCAGGCTGGCGACGACGACCATGACCGTGACCATGACCATGGCGAAGACCACAAGACGCCGGGAGAACAAGAACAATACCCGGAGCAGGAAGAGGACAATGGCTACGAATACTACGAGGAGGACGCGTACAACGAGTCGTATGCCGCGGGAACAGAACATGCGGAAGAGAACAAAGAACATGAATATGAAGAAGACCAATATGAATACGGCAATGGCTATGATGATGAGTATCCTGCTGAGTACGATCCCTCGACCGCAGCGGAGGATTACTATGAAGAGCCCTACATGTCGGGGGCATACAATGAGCCAGACAACGGCGATGAGACGTATGAGGGAGAAGAGTACACCGAATACAATGGGGACGACCCGTCCAGCTACGGCAACGAGACATATACAACGGGCGAGGCTGAGAACACCGATGCTAGCAGCTATCCACGGGCAGCCTACAACGGTCCCAACAGCAACAACTACGGGAACCACCAGTATCCCGAAAGCCAAGAGTACGGCGATGAGTATTACGATCAGGAGTACAACGACTGGGATCCAGGTGCAGAGAACTATCACTATCACCAAGGCACAGACGGAGCAGGAGGTGAGTGGCATGAAGAGCCGGATTACGGACTTGTCTCAGATGACCAAAACCAGGAGGTCGTCGATGAAGTCGCTCTTTACGACCTGGACGATGAATACCTCGACGAGGACCCAGACCATGCACATGACGATTATGCAGATCTGGACGAGCATGATTATCTGGATGAGCATGAACACGAAGATTTGGACCACTACGCAGATATGGATGAGCATGGCTATTGGGAAGAGCATGATGGCGCAGATTTGGACCATTATGCAGATCTGGAAGAAGAGCACGGCCATCTGCAAGAACATGAAGAGCATCAAGAGCATCAAGACCCGGAAAAGAGTAAACCTCTGGAAGACCTTGCATATCCGGATGATGACGATCAGCTCCCAAATTACGAAGAGCAAACCCAACTGCGCCATCATCCCGAAGACAACCTCTTTTTCCTCCCCCCACCACCAAACGACGCGCTGCCCGGATATTCTGAGATCCCACGCTACGCTGCAAACCAAAGCCCCAAGACACAGTACGTGCCATACCGGCCGCCTCCTTCGATTTTGGACGAGGAGCCAACAGAGAAAGACAGGGAAAGAGGAGAAGATGGGATTCCCTCCATGAGACGTGCGGGTACGACTACATTCAGCCCCCGAACTAGTACTGATCGAGTCGGGTCAGGGAAGGAAGACGAAGAGGAGGAGGAATGGGAAGACGAGACCTGCGAAGACGAGGACGAGAGCCTGCCACCACCGCCGCCACTTTCACCGAGGCACCCTGACATCCAGTTTAACCCCTTGAGTCAGCAGTACAAAGGGGGATTGGCTGCAGAGCAGAAACCAGATCCTTTCCTATACATTCCCACCATTGGATCTGGCCAGGCCAGTGCCTTTTGGGAGCGGTAGAGGGGTTAGAACGTGTTTCAGCCGTGTACTTGTATAGGAAGGTGAACCAATCCAGCGTCTGTTTGTTTTGCGCAGTTCAAAGCACGTCTTTTCTGAGAGAATATCGAGAATGGTATTGTTTGACATGAGATAATAGATCCTTCTAGATCAAGTGATTACGATTAGTTGGTTTGGGGGGCCCGGAGTGGGTGGAAATCAGTAATGTCATCCTCCAACGCTTTACTCACATGCTGAGCGTCCGCCGGTGTCCGCCGGGAAGAAACGACCATCCATCCCAAGACGCTTTTGGCTAGGATGATTGCCAAACAAAAAGGTTACAGAGTGGAGCAAAGTCTATACCATTCGCGGGACGGGCAGCCGTCAGAGGATCCACCGCCATGCAACACAACTGGCTTTGACTGGCAGACTGGCAGACTGGTTACAGGTCAGCATTATTCCGAGCGTGTCTGGTAATCATATAGTGGATCCTTGAAATAGAATGTAATGACCCAGCCAATCCACCCCTCTTCTAAATCCCCTCCTTTGGCCAAGTATCAGCTGCGGGTCCTCGGCGACAAGAGGATAAGCTAAGCTGCGTACCTTTTGGGCTATACTGCCCCCCTCCCCCTTTCCTCCTGCTTCGCTTATGGGTCAAGGCGAAGTCAAAAGCTTATACTCTATTCTTAAGCCGAGTTTGTGTCAGGACCCCGAGTGGTTTTTACCCGACCTGGTTGTGGATGCCCCTCTCAGCCAATGTCACCATTATCACCAATGTCACTAATATTGGGCATGTCCATCTGCGGTGCCAGGTGCCCGAGGCTTAGCAGGTGCTCCAAGCAAGCCACGCTGCATACGGGTGTCCTTCGTGAACCCATTGGCTATTCCCTATGCCTCAATTGGCTTAGGGTAGTGTACATGTCTGTCGGGCCGAGAGGCACCGTCCTTTGCCAGTAGAAATAGATCACATTCGGTCCAAGGTCAGACAGCCGTGGGAAGGGTGCTTTACTTTGCATAATAGTCACTCTTTTCTTTATCAAACCACAATCTCAGGGCCAACACACATTCTTTTCGTATAGATACGTCATTGAAAAAGGTACATTTTCTATCCATATCCAACAGGACATTTTACTTTTTCTTTGCACAAGCCAAATCGAGAGACGAGTCTAGATCTGACTTTCGTCGCCATGGACTACAGCTATTACCACCACAACCACAACTACGACTACGACTACGACGACGACGACTACAATGACTACAGTCATGATGGATGGGGTCAGGGCTATGGAGGGGACTACGACTACGATGATGAGTACTGGGAGGACGACTACTGGTACCAAGAGGAAGAATCACCAGAGTACTACCACAACCACTACAATGAGGGCCAAGAGTACATGCATGGGGGGGATCGCAGCTACGGTGCTTCCGAAAATCACTATGGAAGCCAATATGATGCATCGTATGAGAACAACTACCATCATGGCTACTCTCAGGGCAACAACAACTACCAGTCCGACCATCATCAACAACAGCAATACTATGGGAGCAACTCCTGGTAAGGTGAGGCATTGTCGCCGTGTTTGATCCATTGTATCCTAATGCTGGCTTCCAGGAGGGACTCTGAATCATCACATCATTCGAGCAGCCACGTCGACCACCATCACTCGTCGACGAGGACCATCACCCACACATTCCCTGTCCCTCCCACACCTCCGTTACTTCCCATTCCACCGCTGTCTCCCCCAACCCCAAATATTGCCGTTCTTCCAGTGCTTCGCACAGGCACACCGTTGATTCCCGCGGGCTTCCCATTCGAGTCGCGGGCTATGGGCATCAACCGCAACCAGAGCCTGAGCGTGAAGCCCGTCGATTCTGAACACACCAAGTCTGCCCTTACACCGACTCCGACAGAGTCCTTCTTCCACAATCTTTTCTGGAAAACCCCTGGCAAACCAAGAGACCGCGCGAGACCGACCACGCCCGTTATTGTCCCCCCTGCTGGCTCGCGCTCAATACCTCGCAGTCCCAATCTGACGGCCAACATCAGCCTCAACAGATCTCCTTCAGCCGCCGGGAATTCGCCCATAGCTGGGTACGATGCGATGAGAGGAAGGGGTATAGGATTTCTAGCTCCGTCTCCTGAACGAGCGTAATGAACC